TGCTGCGTTCCGCCCAGCGCCTCGCTTGCCCGTCGTCGCTCTGCCCAGCGGCAAGAGCCTTGCCCGCTATCAGCCAGCCAGCTAGCTCTCTTCGCTCCGCGCAGTGGACGACCCGCGCGCGTCGCGGGGACCCCTCCGGGGTGACCTGCGCGCGTCGCGGGGGCTCCGCGCTGCGCTGCTCCCGCAGCCTTGGACTTTTGAGTGCGCGGGCAAAGAGGGAGTAAAGGAAGGGGAGGAAGCGGGCGCGATCCTCGCGGGGGGGCGCGCCGACATTGGCGTCGCGGCGCGCGGGCGATGCCGTCGGGGAGTCCCGGGGAAGCTCCTTGAGGCGGCCACGCCCAGCGTCACGAGTATTCAGAGGCAGTCGTTGTCAAACTATTGGCATTCATACACATTTGCACCACGCTTTGTCATATTCGCATTCATGCACGTAGACTCGCTCGCACGCAGATCTTTCACAGTCAGACGCACGCGCGCAGATTCACCCGCGCTCAGTCTCCCTACGTACTCAGATCAATCGTTTTCGTTCACTTTGTGTACCACGCCACTCATGTCGGCACGCCCCTAGCACGGTTCGTTGCCTCATAGGGATCGCCACCGAAAAAATGAATCACTATTGCGGTACTCGCACCTGCATATGGTTGGGTCCCTCGTCAGGCTAATTACACACAGGTTTCCCCAGAGTTGGGTTTTCGCCCGCATGTGTTCCCAACCATCTTGTGGTGTTGGGTCTTCGTTTTGAAGAGACGTCGCCCCGCGTTCTTTCCTTCCTTCCTTCCCGCTGCCCCCTCCCTCCTCCCATCTTCATCATCATCATCATCATCATCATCATCATCATCGTCATCATCATCGTCATCGTCATCGTCATCGCCATCATCATCAGCATCAGCATGGCCGTCATCATCCCATCAGCGTCAGCGTCATCCCACATCATCATCGACACCCAGCTCGGCACACCCCTCACGCGTTTCGTGGCCCCATAGGGAGCTCCACCGAAGGCCCCAGTGCTGCCGCATGCGTCACGCACACCAAATTCGGCACACCCCTCATGCGTTTCGTGGCCCCATAGGGAGCTCCACCGAAGGCCCCAGTGCTGCCGCCCGCATGCGTCACGCACACTCAATTCGGCACACCCCTCACGCGCTTCGTGGCCCCATAGGGAGCTCCAGCGAAGGCCCAAGTGCTGCCGCCCGCATGCGTCACGCACACTCAATTCGGCACACCCCTCACGCGCTTCGTGGCCCCATAGGGAGCTCCACCGAAGGCCCCAGTGCTGCCGCCCGCATGCGTCCCGCACACCCATTTCGGCACACCCCTCACGCGTTTCGTGGCCCCATAGGGAGCTCCACCGAAGGCCCCAGTGCTGCCGCACCGAAGGCCCCAGTGCTACCGCCCGCATGCGTCACGCACACTCAATTCGGCACACCCCTCACGCGTTTCGTGGCCCCATAGGGAGCTCTACCGAAGGCCCCAGTGCTGCCGCCCGCATGCGTCACGCACACTCAATTCGGCACACCCCTCACGCGTTTCGTGGCCCCATAGGGAGCTCCACCGAAGGCCCCAGTGCTGCCGCCAGCATGCGCCACGCACACCAAATTCGGCACACCCCTCACACGTTCCGTGGCCCCATAGGGAGCTCCACCGAAAGCCTCAGTGCTGCCGCCCGCATGCGTCCCGCACACCAAATTCGGCACACCCCTCACGCGCTTCGTGGCCCCATAGGGAGCTCCACCGAAGGCCCCAGTGCTGCGGCCGGCATGCGTCACGCACATGCGTCACGCACACTCAATTCGGCACACCCCTCACGCGCTTCGTGGCCCGATAGGGAGCTCCACCGAAGGCCTCAGTGCTGCCGCCCGCATGCGTCCCGCACACTCATTCGGCACACCCTTCACGCGCTTCGTGGCCCCATAGGGAGCTCAACCGAAGGCTCCAGTGCTGCCGCCCGCATGCGTCCCGCACACCCATTTCGGCACACCTCTAACGCGTTTCGTGGCCCCATAGGGAGCTCCACCGAAGGTCCCGGTGGGTGTGCCCGCATGCGTCCCGCACACCCATGTCGGCACACCCCTCACACGTTCCGTGGTCCCATAGGGAGCTCAACCGAAGGCCCCAGTGCTGCCGCCCGCATGCGTCCCGCACACCCATTTCGGCACACCCCTCACGCATGCGCCCCGCACGCCCATTTCGGCACACCCCTCACACGTTTCGTGGCCCCAGAGGCAGCTCCACCGAAGGTCCCAGTGGGTGTGCCCGCATGCGTCCCGCACACCCATTTCGGCACACCCCTCACACGTTTCGTGGCCCCATAGAGAGCTCCACCGAAGGTCCCAGTGGGTGTGCCCGCATGCGTCCCGCACACCCATTTCGCACACCCTCACACGTTTCGTGGCCCCATAGGGAGCTCCACCGAAGGTCCCAGTGGCTGTGCGCATGCGTCCGCACCCATTTCGGCACACCATCCCGCTTCGTGGCCCCATTAGGGGCTCCAGAGGGTCCAGGATGTGCCCGCATGCGTTCCCGGCCCAATTTGGCACACCCCTCACACGTTTCGTGGCCCCACAGGAGCTCCACCGAAGGGTCCCAGTGGGTGTGCCGCATGCGTCCCGCACACCCATTTCGGCACACCCTCACACGCTTCGTGGCCCCATAGGGAGCTCCACCGAAGGCCCCAGTGGGTGTGCCGCATGCGTCCCGCACACCCATTTCGGCACACCCCTCACACGCTTCGTGGCCCCATAGGGAGCTCCACCGAAGGTCCCAGTGGGTGTGCCCACATGCGTCCCGCACACCCATTTCGGCACACCCCTCACGCGTTTTGCGGCCCCATAGGGAGCTCCACCGAAGGTCCCAGTGGGTGTGCCCGCATGCGTCCCGCACACCCATTTCGGCACACCCCTCACACGTTTCGTGGCCCCATAGGGAGCGCCACCGAAGAAGATATTCACGATTGCGGTACTCACAATTGCATATGGTTGGGTCCTTCGCGGGGATAATTTTCAAAACGCTGCTCTCGCTGAGGCGCCGGCCTCATTTTCGGGCCCCGCTCGTTCCGAATCGTGCTCCCGCTGCAGCGCTGGCCTCATTTCCGTGCTTCCGCTCGTTCCGAATATTGCTCCCGCTGCAGCGTTGGCCTCATGTCCGCGCTTCCACTCGTTTCGGCTCGTGCTCCCGCTGCAGCGCTGGCGTTATTTCCCATGCCACGGCATGCAATGCAATGCTAGGTTGATACTACGCTTTGCGGTGCTTTTCTACGCCATGCCATGCCGTGCTCTACAATGCATCGCGTACCCTTTCGGGACCATTGCCCTGCTCGACATCCGACTGTGCGAGTAGAGAGGCGATCTACGCCATGGTAAGGGATGGGAGGGAGGGGTAGGATGTCAGATATGACGCGAGCGCACCTAGCTTGTCCCTCCCCCCATCCCCCGCATCCCCTCCCCGGGTACCTTCCTCCCTTGCCTCCTCCGCCCTCCCCCTACCCGGCCCCTGTCCCTCCCCCCACCCCGAGATCCAGCGGTGCGAAAAACTTGAAGCATCGTATAACAGCACGACGGACCCCATCTTTCTGCTACATTTTTCGAGCCAGATCGATCTTGAGAAACGCCCCGCTTGAATAAAACGAGACGCCAGGATCTCTGGGCCCCCCCTCAACCTCCCCACCCCGGGTCCATTCCGCCCGTCCCTC